CCCATCTCTTGTAATTAATACATCCATACTGATGCCAATGGAGCTCACATACATGATTTTAAATTTGATTCAATCTAGCAACTAGAGTAACCCTTGTGTGGGAATACATAATGTAAAGGCTGTGGTCTCAGACCTACAAAATCCTGGAAGTATAGTCAAACAGATTTGATTAGAAAAGGCACGGGAGGCCTTATCTAGATGGGATCTTTGATATAACACTTGTCTGCCTTTGATGTTCAGTTGAGTTGTCCTGAGTATTCCAACCAAGACTGTTGGAAGTGTGCACAGTGTTTATAATGAGATTATTGCCAGTCATTCTATTTCAGCCTGCCAGTAACAAATCTCTAAGCTGATTGGCCTTATTATGAAAGTTCTTATGGCACAAATCCACAGGTTAATGAAAAACCCATAAAAATAAAGCCAGGAGATTCTGGGTCTCCTTGTAAACACAATCTCTTCTTTTATTTATAAGGTCTACTGATTCTAATACAGAGTACCTAAATGTGGTATGTGACTGTGATGCCAAAAAGCAGGGGGTAGGCTAATTGTTGCTCAAAGTGGCAAGATTTAGGACTTACGACTCAGCTCATGCCAGATCATAAATGGGCATATGGTAAGTGAAATAGAATTAAAAAAATACATTCAAGTTACTGTGATAGAGCTTTTAGTTAGTCATGCCAATGGTAGGAGTGATAAAAGAGCTAAATGAAACTATAAATGAACCTTATTTCAACCAACTGTTCCAACATCTCTCATGCAAACAACTTTCACAATTTAGCAAAATCTAAATAAGAATGATTTGAATGCTTCTTTGCTTTTCTTCCCTGGTGGAGCTGGTGCATAGTAAAAATAACACCAAGATACTATCACATTGAAAAAAAAAAAGCAAAAGTGAATAAAAAGGGAAGAAGCAGAATATATAGATTAACCTTACTTTGAAATATTAGTTCTCCAAATAACAATTCTAATAACCTCTAGTCAGTGTTTGGTCAGGGAAAATCATGGAAAACATCTGGAATTTTAGTAGGATGTTCTAAAAATATCTTTCAGCCACTCTTAAAAAACTTGATTTGAAATCTAACATATTTGAAAATTAAACTGAAGTATTAAAACAGCCATGAATACATGATGATCAATCTCTTCTTCTTCTTTAAAGAAATATAAATTAATTAATCATTGTTGACCTGAAGTAAGCTCATCAAAATGCACTCCTAAAGTGAATAACAAGTTGTCATTACATAGAAACCTCCAAGTATTACCTGTTTCTACACTGATGTAAGCCTCTGAGAAAAGCTTGCTACATATGTTTTACCTGCATTCCTCCCATCCCAGCCAAAATAACCACACACAGCCCTACCTACTACTTTCTATGCAAATAGAGTCCATTCAAAACAAACTTCGGAGGTAACCACAGAGTGGAAAAGAGTCTAAGATGAGGGCAGTGGCTTTAAGATGGCCCTAATACTCTAAATCAAGTTAATTAGGTGACAATAAGGGTCACTGAGTGTATGAGTCAAGTTTTAACTGTCTTACTCTTAGTTTTCTGCAGTGGATCACACAGACCATATTTGGAAATCATTTATAAATGTACAATCACTTCTAATTTTGCTTCAAGGTTAGTTTCTGGCATAGTAAATGAGCTTAACCAAATTCACATTTCACATCAATAACTCACCAGGCTCTTGGGAATCAGAATGTTTCTAAATGTCTCTGAGAGAGCTCTCATCACAGCCGTGTGCACACATAACTTCCTCTGTAGCACCGAGCCATGCTGCCTGTCCAGATGACTCCGGATTCCCGCAATGGGTGTGAGGAAGGGTACACGATCAAATTACCATGCAGGGAAATATTTGCAAACACTGTGCTTCTGTTTATCATTGAAATATCTTTCTGTTGTTTAAAAAAAATACAGCACCTTTGAACAATTCTTATCAGATCCCTTACTTCCTTGGCTATTGTGAATGTATTGAATCTTCAGTGTTTAACTTAACCTGGAAAATATGTTTTACATCTAAGTTTCTATTTCCAAATACAATTTGTTTGAGCAAGTCTTGATTTTTTACTGTTCTAATTACTATAGAATACAACCTTCTATTACCAACACTAATTACATATATAATTATTTCTATCTTTTTAAAAAATGAGTTAGACATGAAAAAATTAGGCAAATATAGGTCAGGAAAATGAGTTGGAACCAGAAGTAAGCTTATGCATAAATTTCAGACCCCAGGGTCATACAGTCTGGCTGTGAGCCTTCTAGAGGTCACATGAGAAATGGAAACATGATCAATTAATAAGTTAAAACAGATCAGTGTTGTATGATCACAGTTTTTCAGGGAAGAGGCAGCAGCACCTAGCAGAGGGTCATTGTGGTAGGGGAATTTTAACAACTTCCCAGAGAGAGGAAGTTTCTGAGTTTCATTAATTAGTGTTGATAGGGCAGGTCCACAGGCATCCTTTTACATCTCACTGAGGTATAAGTGCTGATGTTTCTTCTTGTCACTTGTTTATGCTGGCTATTGGTTGAGAAAGTGTGGTCCTCAAACAGTGCTGCAAGATTCTGAGTGGTGGTCCTATTCCTGTGGGTCCCTTTCCCCTGAAGACTTTTAACTATGGAAGCCAAAGAGGGAAGCAGACTTGTACAAGTTATGTATGGAAGTTCCTTAGGCTTTCTTTATTTTGCTTTTAGTTTTATTAATATAAGTGAAGCTAGAGCTTCAAGTCAAAAAATTTTTGTTATAGTTGCTAAAGCAATAATACAGGGCAATAATACAGTTGTAAACCTACTTCTGTCCCAGCCTGTGTATCAAATGTTGGCTAGACATTTGTGCTGCAAGTATGGCTAGCTTGATTGCTTAGACATAGCCAGCTATGGAAGAGTACAAAGATATTTTATTGTACAAGTAGATCAGTGTGGTTTCTTAAGACTCTAGTTCCTTTTGTGGGTGTGATAAGAGATTTGAACCTAAAAGTGCTCAACTTCCTCCCACCACCCACCCAGTGGAGAAAGAATCTGAAAGGATACTTTCTCCATTTAAAAAACAAAAACCTGTTACTCTACATGAACTTTGTTTGGTTCCTGTGATACTATGTTTTGGTGTAATCTAATAAGCCCTACTTCCTTTTAAATGATAAGAAACAAATATAGTGAAAGTAATACCAATCATAAGAGCTAGTATTCATTGATCAATTGCTATACGCCAGGCACTGTGCTAAGCATTGTACCTGCTTTATCTCATTTCATTTTATCTCATTGAGATAGGTGCTTTTCTTTTATCCACATCGTTAATTGAGAAATTGAGACATACAGAAATTAACAACTTGCCCAAGGCTAGTGAGGAATCAATAAGAGAACCAGAATTCAACACCTGGTCTGACTTAAACGACAAATAAATTTCTTAACCATGTTATATTTTCAGCCTATCTTTCATTTTTGAGTGGCAGATGAAACTTCTAAGGGAAAAGGCTTGTCATTGGAATAAAGGCAAGAATGTTATGGAAGAATCTCAAACTTATGAAAATACGAATTTACTGGGATGATTTTGATTTACCTATCAAGAAAAGAGTGCTTTTTCCTGCTGCAGTCAAGAAGTAAGGCATGGGGAAAAAAGACTATGTGAATGGCCAGGTCTATATAAGTATTTCCAAACCTTTTGAAGTTGTTGGATATATTCATGCCTGAATAGCTTGTTTGCACACAGTGGGGACATGCACACAGTTCAAGGGTAGTTGAATAGATTTTGTGCAGAATTTTATCCTGACTACTGCAGAATTTTCTCTCCACTGATAACATTTAAATGAACTGGATTTTCAGATAGAACACAGTCATCTGACATGGATAAACTTTTTTAAAAAGATTTTTTTTAATATTTAAGATTTTACTTCAATAAGTGTTTGAAAAAATAAATTAGCACATCAACCTTGTGATTTTGTAGATATTATTGCTTAGATAAAACTAGATTGATTTTTAAAAGAAGGGAGTAATTTTAAAGCCCAAGCTCTAATGATTTAAATATTACAGAAAGCACACAGATAAAGGGACACTTGTGAAGCTGATGCATGAAGGCCTGGAGTCTGCAAAATAAACTTGGTAGCCTTGGTGCCTTTCAGTCACGAACTCCTGACAAGCATTAGCCTTTTCTTGTGTAGAGTGTGGACAAATAACTTGGAGAAATAAAAGAACAAGAAGAGTAAGTCTAGTATAGATTGTTACTTTTTATTTCTCTCTTTGTGTTAGGTGATAGAATTTCTTGTGTACTTTGCTATGACTTTTTTTGAAAAAACTTTGTTTATTTCCCTTATGAATAGCATTTTCCTTCCTTCAGGTAACAATGTATATCCAGTGTAGAGCGCTTCTTCAGCTTTTCCTTCCTGTACCATTTCATTCTCCAGGCCCTTTGTGGAACATAAACATTCCTAGTGTCTTTTTCCTTCCCTCAACCCTTGCTGTTTGTTCGTCCTTTACAGCCAACGTGGCAGGGCTGGGAAGCAGATAAAACAGCCTTGCTCAAGTCAGATGAGATGTTTAAAAATAAAAGATACCATAAGCTACAATTAAGGAATGCCCAAGGGTCAAAGTAATCTCTCATTCCATAATAGTGGCCTTATTCAAATGAGAATTTTCAAGTATGAAGTGTGCTGTAGGTAATGTACCCACTTATTGCATTTTTCTTTCAGATTCAAAATGACATTAAAATGGAAATTAACATAGTTTTCTAATATCACATTTGGAAGGATTCGATATATTTACATTTTTTGCTTGCATCTCTTTCTGGAGTTTCCTTTTGGTCTCATCTCAAACCTTATCTGTGATTAATTTAAGGAGGTATATATCTATTTTATTTCATTTCTTGCATTACATCTTGATGATTTTGTTTTAATTGGTAACTGCTTTGCGTTTTTAAAAATGAGCCTAGTACTCCTCATTGCATATTGAAAAATTAACAAATAAAATGAAACATAAAGGAAAATTAAAATAATATGTTTTTCCTTCTTTTCAGATGGTAAAGTTGAAGTTACAAAAGAAGGTGTGAAGCTGTGCACCATGGGCCCAGGCAAAGTGTTCGGGGAGTTGGCTATTCTTTACAACTGTACCCGGACAGCGACCGTCAAGAGTAAGACTTTAATTTTTCATATACTTCCAGTGCCTTCCTTCCCTAGACCTGTGAGATGGTCATTAAGGTGCTTCTTGATTGAATCTTTGTGAGTTTATTAAAATCCATATTCTAATTTTTGCTTTGAAATATAGTCAATATGTTTGTTTTCCTACTAAAGGATGATTGTTAATCAGTTTGCTAATGTAACTTAAATTTCATTGCTGACTTATGAAAAGTATTTTTTAATTTGGAATTTTTATAAAATTACAAGTTACAAAATGATATAATTTCATAAATTAAAATTGAACAGGGGCAAAACCTTTTTCTTTTCCTACCTTTAAATCCTCAGAATCATATTTAAATAATTTTTATATATCTGCTATTTTGGTTTACATTCATCACATAAATGCTACTTGTTCATTCAGTAGTTTAGAAAAATTAAGAGGAGAAATGTTCATCGTATTCAAACATCGAGTGAGATATATCCTGAATTCTAAAACTGCTTTTGAGTATATTCTTGTCTTCAGCTGCTCATCAAGCTCTCTATTATAGCCATTTTCTTTTCTACTGATTAAGCTTATTTTAAATCAGGGCAATAAAGCAGCTTGTTTCCCTAATTTTACATATATGTGTATATATGATTTCTCTAGCAACTTTTATTTCTCAGTGGCAGCTGCAATAGTTCAAGAGGCAAAAATGTTTCAGACACTCCTTCCTGGCTGCAGGAGGTAACGCGTGCAGGAGGAACGGAGCTGCCTGCTGATGCCAGCAGAGGAGGACCCGTTTGACCTTTAGGCAGACATGCGTATTTCATGCTCAAAAAGTTCCTCTGCTACCTTATTTTGTGGAGGATAGCAATCACAAGTTGCTTTGATTCGGTTGTGCCATTAAAAAACTCTACTGGAAAAATGATGTTGATAATATCAACTAGTTTTATTTGGACGGCACGGGCGATTTTGTGTATTCTTTTTTTCTCTCAGAAGTATGGCAGTGATTGACAATATGACATTGACACTCAGGTTGTAAAGAACTTAAGAATGCATGGCCAGCTAGAGTTCTAGAAATTATCCTACATGCCTTCTTAGTGAATTCACCTGTTATTTTCATTATAGTTGAGGCCCTTAGAAGGTTAGCCTTTCTTGGCACTTGATTCTTGATCTCTAAATGCATAGAACGCTTTTGATGGATGGGCACCACCGAGTTTTTATGTCACATGATTATTTAATGACATAACACAAAGAATAACGAAGAGCAATGAGCCATGACAGATTCTGCCAGAACCATAGCTCACTGAAAAAGTGCCTTAACTAGGAAAGAGAATAGTCGTGGCTCCATCATATGAACAGATTTTACTATCATACTGCATTTTCATGAGAAATACATTCCTTTTAGGGCAAAAAAAAATCCCAGAGTATTTTGATTAAACAGGCTTCCTCAGAATTGTGAATAGTAATTTTCTCCATTTAAAAATATTAAAAATTTAAAAATATTTCAGCCTGCATATTGCTCATTTAACCTAATTAAAACTACAGAATTTCCAAAGGTCAGTTGGTTAATTATAAAGGTCAGCATGTCACTTAACTTGTGAATAATTCAAAATTCAATAGTGAATTATAATGAAAGCAATATTTTAAGTAGACTCAATAACATTTAAATAAATTTTACAGCAAAATATTTTTCATAAGTAAATGCTTTGCCTTATAAAAATCAACTGTCTTAATCGGATCCTACAAATGGTGTTAATCTGGAATAGCCTCTATTGTACTCGTGTTTGATAAATTTAAATGGACAATATGCATCTAATTCAACAAGAAGGAACTGGGTGTTAAATGAAAACTATAAACCCAACATTTGGGGGTCAAAATATCATTTATTAATGGAAATTGGTGATGGAGTATATTCTTTAATACAGAGTTGGATATGTGTCAAATATGTGTGTGTTTCTTTATAGCGCTTACTTATGATGTAGACGATGTACTTGAGAAAAAAGCCTAGAGCTGATGGTGTACAAATAAAATTTATAGGTGAAAAGGTTTTGTGTGTGAGCAAAGAAAAATATCTACTGGCGACACTTCCTTCTGAATGTTGTGTGAGAACTTAATACAACATTGCTTGCAGCCCAGGACCATTTTGTCCTATCTCCTATACCATCCTTATTTTATACTGTACTTATGACTGTAGTCCCTACATATTAAGCTTATGTTCAAACTGTACCCCAGGCTGATGACTTTATAAATCTGATTAGCTTTATAAATTCTAAATCCACTGTGGGTGCTGCTTTTGCCAAATTATTACAGTCTATGCTATCATACTCGTTATATGTGATGTTTTAAAGTATCCTTACATGGCTTTTTAGATCTGATCATTTCTCAGGATTCAAGATTGCGCTGACTCGTGTCCATTTCTTCTTAGTGATCGTTTCCCCAGTGGTGACCGTGTGCAGTGACGTTCAGAGTGGATTCACCTGCTTGAGTGTGACAGTCTAATCCTGAGGGCACTGCCGTTCCCACTCAGCGGCTCCTCCCTTCATGCTTGTTTTTGTTTTTTCCTCGCTTACCTGGGCTGGCGACTCCCTTTCCCTGAACACTGCCCATTTTCTTATATAATCAAAAAGGTCAATGATTCCTTTCTACTTTATTTCTCCCTAGGTCAGCCTGAAATGTTAATGCTTTTTTTAAATTGAGGTTATTGCAGTGGCATGGTTCACAAAATCATACAGTGTACAACTCAGTAAAACATTATCTGCATACTGCATCGTGTGCCTCTTGCCCCAAGCAGAGTCTCTTTCCACCCCCATATCCCCCCACCCTTTCCCACCTCCACCTAATCCCACCACCTTTTCTCTGGCTATCATATACTGTCATCTTTGTGGGAAAATATATATATATATATTTTTTTTTCGCTAATTCCTTCACCTTCTTTCATCTAGTCCCTCAACCCCCTTCCCATCTGAAATTTTAATGCACTTTTAATCTCACAGTCTTAACTAAATTCTAGGTGGCACTGACGGGCTCTTCAATGTAAATGAGTAGTTTCTTGTTTAACACAGCACTTTTTGAAATTATGTCAGGCCACAAATAAATTCCAGTGACTTCCTGTGACAATGAATGTGATCCTAACACCTGTAAGCTTTCTTTAGCTTAGAATATGGAAAATAGCTTTATTTTTTGAGGCATTATTGACATATAATATTATATTATTATAGTTTAGTGATAATGATTTGATATATGTGTATATTACAAAATGATCACCACAATGTCTAGTTAACTTCTGTTACCATACATAGTTACAATTTTTTTATAATACGAACTTTTAAAATCTACTCCCTTAGCAACTTTCAAATATGCAATACAGTATTAGTAACTATAGTTGTCATGCTGTATGTTATTACATTCCCAGGACTTATTCATCTTATAGCTGGAAATTTGTACCTTTTGACCCCTTTACCAGTTCCACCCCCTCCCCACCTCTGGTAAACAATCTGTTCTCTCTATGACATTGAGGACACTTCTCTTTCTTCCTTTCTCTCTCTCTCTCTCTCTCTTTCTTTCTCTCTCTCTCTCTTTCTCTCTCTCTCTCTTTCTTTCTTTCTTTCTTTCGATTCTACATATAAGTGAGATTGTATAGTACCTGTATTTTTCTCTCTGACTTATTTTATGTATCATAATGCACTCAAGATCCATCCTTGTTGTCAAAAATAGCAAGGTTTCTTTCCTTTTTTTATGGCCAAATAGTATTTATAGTAATATGGAAAGAAAACATGCATGATTTGATGAAGATCTATATTCACAGTCTATTATCTTATAAAACAACACCACTGATTTTCCCCTGAGGAATTTGGATACAAATATATAAACACATGCACGCACAATTATATTTGTGTATATATACAAATATATACATTTTTATATATACACAAATATGTATTCATATATAATTATATATTATATATACAAATGTATATATATATATAATTAACATGATATTGGAAAGAAAAATCTAACAAACATCTTGAGGTCATTCACAGCTGAAATAAGCTTGTGTTTTCTTTATTAACTGTGGTGTGAAAATGGCCACTTGCTGTCTGTCGAATCATAAGCGCGCCAGATGCCACAGCGAGGAAAAAATCATTTGTTTTATTAGATTTCTACAACACCAAATGATGTCTCCAATGCTGTTTGGATTTCACACTCTGTCTAAATATTCAAAGGTCCTGCACACTCAGGAGAGTTCTACCATCCATTTTCAAGCCCCACGAGGACAGGAATTTCCAATGTGCCCCTTGCAGACCCCTTGTGACTTCATTCCCACACCTGGAAGCAGGTCATTATCATGTTTCCCTAAGGAGTCACTCCTGGTTGTGACTTCACTTTCACGCCCTCACAGCTAACACCCGATCAATTAACACCCACCCTGGGCCTCTTACCTTGCTGCTGGATCCCAGGTTCTTTACAATCACAATAGTGGAAAAGTTCAAGTTCCTGGAAACCTGAAAATAGAAAGGAAACAGCACTTAGTTTTCAGTGAAACAGGGATTCAGTGACATACTCTATGTGTGAGTTTGCAAGGACTTTTATGTTATCTTGTCTTACTTGGATTTTCCATAACTGGTTATCACAACTACACAGGGATTTTTTTTTTTTGAGGTCTGAATCATATGGCTCTGAGCTCCAACTTCAGTTGTACATGAATGGGTATTTGTGCCTGAGGATGCTAAATTGAAGCCTGCTTCTCTTACTTTGAATTTCCAGCTCACAATGCCCCAAACTTTAGGCAGTGAATTATTCTAACAGTCTCATTCAAATAGTCCTCATTAAAAGCCCAAGAATAAAAGGTCTCTCTCTTTGTAGGGAAACATCTGGATACCAGTTTAAGATGATCACCATAGAGTTATTTGCAAAGTATGTCTATGTGGTTGTGAGTTGACTTGGACAAAACATCTGAATAATTATTTCTCTTTAAATTATTTATAGCAAGTATTTAAAAACTCCTCAGCATTAAAATACTTCAGTACTAAC